ACCACGTAACCATGGCGTTTACAGAGATTGACGTTTATCACCGATACCAAACTATTCAGTCTATTATATTATTACAGCATTCGTGGGCTATGCTTTCTTGGAACCTATTTTATAAGAGTGTGGCAAATTTTCAAGCTTACTCATCGGACTTTTCCTACAGATTAATTTGCTCATTGCTTGACTACGGGAAGAATGCAAAAATATCTTGTTTCTTCATCGCAGGTGCATTCCAGTTATTTTGCAAAGCGCCGGTTTTCTATTCGCGGTATGTTTCGCTTTCCATAGAGGCTCGAACAGTTTGCTTTGCGCTGCGTTTGCTTGTTTGCCATAGCATACAGCCAATGAAAACATAAATACAGAACCTGACAGTAGAACGTTTTGAAGCATTAACGGCAATGAATTATGAGTCAAGTGAGATACAGGAATCAGGATACAGTTCGATTGTTTTCGTATGTGGAATTCGATGTTTATGCATTTGTTAGGTTTCAATCGATGTATTTTTTCTACCTATCATACTGTAAGCAAATTTCGTTGTTGCTTCGGGTATAACAAAATTATGCCGGTATTCAGGGGCGCAGCCAGGATTTTCCCAACGGGGAGGTTACGGTGAAATTAAAACATTACACCAAAAGTGCTATTCACGACGACGTAATAATGCTTTTAATAAACTAAAATACATGGTCGTTCACAGCGAAATTCCACAGTTACACGTTTGGTCTGGCGGTGTTTGGTGAATTTTTTGCAAGTCCTATTTCAAACATCGATCATTAATCCGTAGTCAGCGGGTACCCGCATTTAGAAATAAAACATTAAAAATCGCGAAAATTAGTTTTAAAGAGAACTATAACTCGCAGATGTCAGTAACGTCATGATGGTTTATATGTACAAAAAACACGCTCACATGTAGCGCCGATCAAATGCATGAAATGTGAAACTATTACTTGGAATTTCTTATTAATTGATTTGATTTTTTATTGCCATTCAATGATTATTTACATGCGCCGTGATTAGTGGCGGGTAAAAAATTTCGTCATAATCGAGGACTGCAGTGAATTTTTTGTCACCTCGATCGTTTCGGCGGCCGACATTCCAATTAATGTTGTTAAATTATATTAAAGCACTTTTTTCATTCAAAAGCAAATATTAATTCTCACGCAACAGCGGAGATCGTAGTTTGGTTTTTATATTTCGGACAGAATTGTGAGTTCACATCGGCGAAGATGTTAAAGACAACTAAGGAGTGCTTTCACAACACAAATAAATTTTATTCTCATTTTTATCTTCTGTGTAGGATTTGTATCACAGTTTGTAAATTACGTGCCCAATTTTAGGTGAACAATATTATATTATCATTACTGACCCCGGGATGCAATATTTGTGAAGATGATGGTTGACATTTTTATGCTTTTAATTTTAGATCGTGTCCGTGTTACGTGTTACTTTCGTATTATATAATACTTAAAAGCTCCGCAAATTGGTAATCTCTTGAATACTCAGTGTTGAGTATTTATGTAACTCAGCTTTGGTTTAAAACACTGATACTAAACAAATGAATAAATCGGCAATAATGGCATTTCTACGTGGTCAAAATAATATTTCTTCCCAATATCTCGAGAAATTTCCATAAGAAACACTTGTTTACCTGTCTTACTTATCTGGTTCGATGTTTCTAAATTTACAAAAACGGCGTTGACACGCTTTATGCAAAATTAGGAATTGAAAAATATGACGCAAAAAGGCAAGGAATTTCTTTTTCACTTTTATCGTTTCTACCAGTTAGCGATAGCCGTCTGTAAATTCTTACACGTAACTCGTTGTAAATTAATGTTATTAAATTATGTTTTGCTTTTCAATGCGCTGTGAAGTGATTGAGTCGGGAAACAAAAGCATATAACCCTTCTCTCCTTTTGAGCGCCCATAACGGCGGTTAAACGTTTCATGTCTGGAGAAATACCTTTAATGGAGAGAAGGGAAAATACGCCTTCCGGAATTGCAATCAATAATTACACATTCCTATTTATCATTATCAGCTCTAACTAAAAAAGATAACATATCTTGAAGACGGAAAGACGCTTGGACGGCAAACCATAATGCGCGATCGTGAAACTACGCCGTTACTTTTTTGTAGACGAAATTCACATCACAAAATTTACTCAAACAACCCATGTAACCCCCGCTGCGCCGCTGTCGGTATTGATGCGGTATGAAGCAGAATGTTTGTTAATATCAAGTTTTGGTTTAAATGAAATGGCCAACTATCAGTAATAACATGTTACTTAGAAGCCACGTCACAGCGCTTTCGTTAATATCAATAGCGATGCAGAATAACTCGCGAAGGTACCGTAATGCATGGCGGTATCCATCTACTGTACCAGTTATAATTTTGTGATTCCATACTAGTACCTGAGTCTTGATCAAATGTTTCCCAGTTTTGAATTTGCTGATTTGTGTCTTATAAAAAAAAGATTGAGACTTACCAGTCTGCCAGAACATGTCTGCATGTGTACAGCGCGACCGTATTCTCTCTATTTTCTGATTTTAGGCCAACCCCATCAATATATTTGTTTGAGGTTATCTCTGATTATTACCGTCTTCCCCTATAACCCTAGACAATCTATTTCCGTTAGTGTTAAATTAGGTATACTATATATAAATATTTCTGTACTTTATTTCTGAAAATACAGTAGCATATCTATTTTTAATTTTTAGCAAATCATTGCCACTTACATTTTTGTTATATGAGTTCTTTTAATATGTAAAGACAAAGCTTAAAGATTTAAACTTTCTCAATTACGGTAGTTAAGATATGCCATACTATCTTCACTTCCACAGTGTATTTATCGAAATCATGAAAACACATGGCAATAATTTATCCCTTTCTAAATTTTTTACTGATACTCTCTATCTCCACCTATTGTGACAGAAAACTGTCATTGGGTCAAAGGTCATCTTTGTAAAAGGTTGCTTGCTTAGTTTTCATCCAGTGTCATTGTTTGGTCAAATTATAAAATAGGATGTATTTGAATTAGGTAGTTATTCATGGCTTACAAAGATTATATCATTATATAAACTCACGATCTTGGGTTGTAACTTGAATCTAGAATGTTATATGGGTTCGTGGTATAGAAGTATATTGTGTTTCATGTATTGTCCATCTTTGTTAGAATGACTGCATATTATAAATTGGTTGACATAGATAATTATGGCAATGTGGTATTTTTTTTTTTTTAAATGGTAATACATTTTTAGATACCTAATGCATAATACTAATCCCATAAGCTCAGAATTGTGGTAAACCCCCCATTTTTAAGAAATATTCATTTGGTTGGTCTAAGTTTTTCCACCATAAGTTTTAGGATGGATGGGCCAATCACATCGCAGTTGGAGGATTTGATTTTATCGCTTCTCGGCCTTTTGGCTAAGATCAAGTGTAGTATCTGTTCTTTTCAGATTAATACCTGAAATGTGGGGTACTCCCCCACTCTTGTATTAATTTGATTTTTGTACCTAAGGGTTTGGCTTTGTGGCTTGCCACACCACTCCCACGGGTTGTCCTGGTATTGCAGTACCTCCAGGTTCGGCCCACTCTCCACATTGTGGAGATCCTTTTGTTAACATGTAATGGTTAGAATGCGGGGATTCACTATTCGTGATGCAGTTTTTAATAACTGCAGAACTGGCCAGTGTTCCAGTTGTAAGAGCCTGATATCTGATTATCGGATTAGGCCAGAGTCTGATGAAATTTTGATAGCTTAACCAATCAAATTGAATATGCTGGCAATAGATGTGGGTTAACTTCAATATTCTGTATAGCCTTTTCTTTATTTCATTATGATAAGACTGTAAGGTGATAAATTGTTTGCTATGGAAAGATCAATCTCAGTTATTGAGAAACATAGTTCAGATTACATAATAGTATTTTATACCTTAATAAAGTCTAGCTGCTTGAGCTTTCATTATATATTTCATAAGTCAGTAAGTGTAAAGTTTCTTCCAAACTCTTATTAATATTTTTTATAATTGCATTCTGGTCTGCATGATTAAACACTAGTCCAGTAGTCCGAAGTTTTCATCCTGTGCTATCTTGTGCAGTTGTGTGATTAAGTCTATTGTGTTGCAGTGTTGAGGGGATTACTTTTGAAATTTTTATTTATCCACAACATCATAACGAGATGTTAGCGATTCGTCATTGCATTACAGTATGTTTCTCTCTGTAACCTAAATATATTTTCCAGCAGAGGAAACATAGGAAATCCAAATTATGTAATTAAAGTTTCATAGGTTTCTAGAAATATAATAATGTATAATACAACACATAAAATATAAGTTATATGGTACCCAACATAATTTGCTTGTTAGTCAGTAAAAACTAATGAATTTTAGGCAACTTGGCTATTACTGTATTAGAAGTTGGTACTGTAATTATTTCAAAATAAATTGGGTATTTCTGTCACGCCTTGTTGAAAAACATGATTTTCCACCAGTTCACCTTCTGACTGCTGTTCTGCTTATACCCGAACCATATTCTCTTGGTAAAAGATGTCAGACTCACGATCATGAAGCTGAAAAAAAACCTGATTTGCCTTGAATAGTACTTTACACCAATTCCTACCATTTCCATTTACTTTTCCACAGTATCGTTCTATTAATGATTTTGCTTCATCTCTTTCAATTGATTCGAGAAGAAATTTTGTTTCAATGCTCGGTACCAGTATTTTCTTAACACTGACTTATGACTGTATGAATCATAGTCCATTATTCAATATATATTCTAGTGATATAAGGCAGTCTAAGGCCTAATCTTGTAATAAGTTGATGTTGAGTATCTTGTTAAGAATGCTCACAACATATGGCTTTGCTCCTTAAAATTTGTTCCATACATTTTTACACATTTCGTATGGCAGTAAATAAGTATGGATTGAGTTAATCGAGATAAGTCTGGCTATAACTTTGACAACTCTTTGACCTATTTTTGTATTATTGTTTGGTTTAAATGATATTCATCTTCTGCTCAGATTGATTTTATTAATTTTAAATTTATAAGCTAGGTTTTAACTCAACGGTTTTCAATAGCTTTTTGATGAAATACAAGCATGAAAATTTCTATATGAGGATCTGATTTTTAAAAAGTATCAGTTATCGGAAAATAATACTGCAATGTTTAGCAAATTTAGTACGATACTGCAACAGGCAGTAGATGCTTTAGCTCCAGAAGCAACACCAATTGAAGACTTTGTTTATCACTGGAAATGTATCACAAATTTTTACGTTGAAAATACAGACGAAAAATGTCCTGTAAGTTTACATGAATTTTTTAGGTCTAGTGAAGTGAACATCATATCTGGTTAAATAACGCCAAACAAAAATGTATTGTGAAATACAGCCCAAATTCTAATTTAAAAAAAAAAGTATAAGTCTGTGTCACATGGAACGTTATACCGGTTCCCTATTTGGTACGGGACACATAACATTACCTGCTTAGTTGAAAATTGAGTGCCAGTAGGTTTGATTTTGACTAAGACGCGTCTGCGAAAAATTTAATTTCGCGTTGAACAGACTTTTTTAAAAACATGAAAATTTCACACCACACTTTTATTTGGCATTTATTTAAGCAGTAACGGCGTTCATTTTACATCACAATTTTGTTTGGCATATTTAAGTGGTTTCAGCGTTTACTTCGCCAGAAATTTTTTTTATTGTTTGATTACTTGGTAGCTAAAAACATGGGCCTTTCATTGGCCCAAAGTGTTATAATATTATTTAATTCATATTTTAGGTGAATTCGACGAACATTCCTTCTCACATGCAACAAATGTTGGTGATTCTGGTGGAAGAAGAAGCTGAAAGGGAAGTTGGAAACACAGGACCATGTATGGAATATTTATTACAGGTATTTGGCATAAATTAAGTTTATTCCACATGTATGCAAAATAGACATGTTAATATCCGATTGATTAATTTGTCTTTGTGTAAGCTACTTGTAGTGATTTTGTCTCTGTATCTGACACTTTATAATTTTCTTTTCTTGAAAGCATAAATTGCTGGAGACTTTGCACACGTTAGGAAGAGCTGATTGTCCACCTGGAATGAAGCAGCAAGTTCTCAGATTTTTCACAAGTTTACTTGGAAGAATTCAGCAACCTCTGTTACCCCACATAAATGTTCACAGGTAAATATCTTCAATACTTGAAAACATTGATTATATTTGTGCTGTGCTGAATTAGACATTGCCTAGGTTTATTGTCGGTTGATCTATTTGATCTAACCTTTTAAATTGATTTTAATCATATCAGGAATGTTACTATTCTGTATTTTCATTTTGTCATTTTGACAAATATATATATATTTTTTTTTTCGTTTTTCATTGGTTATCAAAAGTTTTCTTTGTAAAACAGCTAAACACCAAGATGGTGTAAGGTTTTTGTTCTGATCTTTCCTGCCTGGCGCACCTATATTTGTATATATCATGGTTTTTTTTAAAGGCTCAAATGCATTACTTGGTAAAATTTACTACCGTACTCTTATCTTTAATAATTTTATATTATTATGGCAATAAAAGAGAAAATACTAATTTATTTTTGGTCAAGATATCTAATTTGTACCTGTGCATTCACTACTAATAAAATGTGATCATGTATTACTTTTGGTTTCAGGCCAGTTTCCAGGTTAGTTAGAGTGTGTGGAGAAGTTGCTGCAGCCCCAACAGAATCTGAAGAAATTGCATTCCTATGTACTGTGTGTGCAAGATTGAAACAGGAACCTCATTTAGCTCATTTGTTTTTGAGAGGAAAAGAAGACCCAAAGGTATTGATAATAATAATTCTGGAAATTATCGAATCTGTTCTTGTTTACTTTTCCTATTTCTATAAACAATGTGCAAATGATGTTTGATTTTTGTTATGTTCCGATTCATTTTCAGCCAGTAAGAGCAAATATTCTGTTCGTTTCTTCATATCTCCAACCTTCTTGAATAATTAATCAAAATCCAGAGCATGGACTTGAATAGCAAGTTTCCTGTTCTTTCAAGCTAACTTGAATAAGCTTATTTATAAGAACTTTGCCAGCAAATGTAACTGAAATATTTTTTTAAGAGTTCATGTTACTAGAATTTATTTATCGTAAATATTTCTTCATATGTAACTTCTTTGAATTGTAGTAATTTGGCTATTAAGAGAATTCTAAGTTGGAGGAATCATTATTCTAGAGTAATCTCTATTAGGTAATTATTTTCATCATTTGCCAGTCTGATTCTAAGAGTAACAATATTCGTAATTCTGTAAAATATTTTAGATATGAGGAAAAAGGAATTAGTTACTTTACTTCCAAGCTCCATCATTGGGTAATATTTGTTTAAAACTGTGCTTAGAGCAGAATTTGATAGTTTTTATATCATACTATGTGTTATCATTATATTCCATACAATGCTGAATTCATAAAATGTAAAAATTTTCCAGTTGAAAAATAAGAAAAAAGAGGATTCCCCTGTCGTTCAAGGGACAAGTGGAAATAATGCAGACCAAGAAAAACCAACTACAGATCCTACTGGAAAAGTTAATACAACCCCTGATAAAACTGCATCCGCCCCTTCCACCAGTACAAAAGATACAAAAAATAGTCCTTCGTTGCATTCTTACACTACAAAAAGAGAAGGTTATGACCTTGTGGACTCTTTATTGAACTTGACTAAGTCTGAAGATGGACGAGTAGCTGTGAAAGCTTGCGAAGGAATCATGCTCCTTGTTTCACTTGAACACAAGGATGCTGCTCGAGCAATTGTACAAGATACTGCACTGTGTTATTTATTGAATCTAAGGTGACTTTGTTTATGTTTTGTTGAGGTTGTATCCATCTTTTTCATGTAACACTTGTTATCAATTCACTTAATTTTACGAAACCAAATTTGACATACAAGAGGGCGATGCTCAAATGTATGGATACGAAGGCACATTGAAATGGTATGGATATGCAATTTGTCACCGTAGACTTTCGGTACAACAGTGTTCATGAGAAGTTTTTGAATTAAATTATTAGCATTTCAGGGAGAAATACAATCTTCAACCACTGGAAATTTCAAAGCAATTGGTTCAGTAGTTAATGAGAAAAGATTTTTTCATAACGATATGAAGAAAAATCCCAACAATAACAACAACATAATAACGAAACGATCTATATATATCTATATTTTTGTGTTAAAAAGAAGTACCGATATTATGAGAGCAATAATTTTGGCTATCTGAGTATTTAAAAAATATTATTATGTTATTATATGAAAAAATCTCAATTACTTTGTGTTAGGTGCAATGCGTTGAACTTATTACCTATTATCCACTGTTACATCTTGCTATAATACCTCTTCAGTTCAGCAGTGACTTAATCGCATTATTTAACTTTGGTAATTTTCAATGTGAGATGACCATTAGGACTATTTGTCTCGACATTGAGTCCTATTCAACTTTTCACTCCCATTTCAGATTGTCATCTCTCTTTGCTGCAATTCCTGAAAATGTAGATCCAGTTGATATTGACGCCGTGGAAGCTAAATGGGGATTAGATGCTCGAACCGATGACAGTCATCGATTTTCTGGGAAGCGGGCTCTGATCTCATTTTTATCTTGGTTCGACTATTGTGATCGACTAATCTCAGAAGGAAACTCGGTAAGTTTCTTCAGATTTTTGTAGACCTATTGTGAGATTTGAAAAGTTGATGGTATTCTAGCCAAACAGCTAACTGATACCTACGACAGTGCTGTATTTCTTGAGCTATTACTTGTGCATAGGTATTGTTTTAGTAAGGCATAATTTATGCACATGAACATGAAGCAGAGACTGAACATATATTTGCATTACTAAGTTCAATTTTTATTGATTTACATTAATTTCTGCTAATTCTTTAATAATAATTTATTCGATTTTGGCTATCTTTACCTGCGAATTTCTTGAAAAATAGTTGGTGCTATGCTATTTTTTTATGTGATTTTAGTTGGTGCCATATTGGTATGCGATTGAGACGCGTTAAGCAAGTGAGATCGCATACCAAAGTGGCATCGAATAGTCGAGTCATGATTTTCATTATATTTAATTCAAAATTTATTAGATTTTAATATTTATATTATTATATTGCAGCAAGAGTGTCGGGAGCTTCTTGCAAAGTCAATGAAAGAACAATTTTTTGGATTAACTTTGTCACCTTTACTTTGTGCAACAAATGAACACACGATACTTACTGCCACATCTATATTCACTAAGCTATTTCGATCAGTCGAATGTAAAGAACTTCTCAGAGAAATGCTAAACTTTTTATTAGCTGTGTCAAATGAAGAGGTTTGTTTTATTTTAAACATTTCTATTTAGTTTGAATTAGATCTCCAAATATTTTTTCGAATCGCTATCACTTTCCTTTCTCAATACAACACTATTGAATAATATATTGACCTCCTTGAACAATGGTGCACGTGTCTGACATTTTAATAATAAACTTCAATTTCGAAGATAAATACCCTACATCTCATAGCATGGAATTGGAATTATGACCAAGTATGCCATGAATAGGATCAAATTCTTTTTAGTTCTTGAATAATAAATTTCTCTGAATCTAAGCCTTTTATTATAATTTATGTAAATTGAGGTTTTTCGATTATTTTTGGTGGGACTTTTTTTCAAAACTAAATCTCAAGCATGTAAAAGCATTATTATTCTGATTTGAAAGAAATTATTAAGCAAACTTATAACATCAATTCACACAATACAATTATATTTAGCTCTCAATTAGCACTTTTCATAGATTAAAGAAGTGTGAGAGAGTATGAAAGGACACTTTTCACAAAGACTGTTTCTGAATGTTTTTTTTGCATTATAGTTTAAACAGTTGCTATGTGACATTTGCCTTTTAGCACTGGCCAGCATCTGGATTGTCTCCTTTACAGATTGCCATCCTTTTCTACCCCTGACATTTGAGGGCGTTGAATTCTGACTCTGGGAATTTCGTATTTTTTATTTTTTATTTTTTGGAAAATACGACGTTTTGACACACATTCCAATACCAAAAATTACTTGACGTTGAGGCCACAGCTCTGATTCTTAAACCAAATAGAAACAGCTGACTTATAGTCCTTTCTGAACATTTTTTGAGAAAGAAGGTGACAAGATTGCAAAACCACACCTTTCCTTTCCATAGTCTGTATAATATTGCTTATTCCACACAGCATATCTGAATGATAAATTTCTGTGCTCTTTAGATGAAAGTATTCGCTCAGAGCAGGGGGTATGCAACAGGTGGCCCTCGGGCAACAACCTGGCTCGCTAGGCCTTTCAGTTTGGCTCTTGTCAACACTCGTATTTTTTCCCATCAAGCATAAATTCTGAATCCAAAATTGTTTAACAAGTCGCTCACATGTGCAAAAATACATACTGATTTTTGTTCTTGTCGCTTTGTTGAATCCTTCACCGTTTTGCTCTGTGCCTTTATTTTATTTATTGTAAGGCTGAGCGATAGCCGTATTCTCTTTTTTTGTGTGGCCCAGCTAGATGTCCGAAGTTGGTTATATGGCCTGCTGAAAAAAAATGTTGTACAGCACTGACTTAAAGCATATTTTACCTTGCTATTGTTACTTCTAGTCTGTACCATCACTGTTGCTGCGAATACTTGAAAGATGCGATCATTTATCTGATGAGATCACCATTGTATCACTTCAATTATTTGAAACTGTACTAAGGAAAAACGATCCGATAGCAATGGATGAACTTGTAATAAAATATTTGCTACAACGTGGATATCATGCTGAAAATCCTGGTAAGAAACATTGTGTTTACTTTGAATATTTTCCCAAAAGATTATTCTGTTAAATATTTTTTCTGATTGTAATGTTAGTTTATGGTCCTTCCGCTTGGAATGAGTTTATCTATTAGGCTTAAAACTGAGAACTGGAAATACATATTATGATGCCAGTTCCAGGACAACATAAATGAATTTTTCGATAAAACACTACCATTTAAAAAGTTGCAACTGTAACTACCGGTATGTCCAACATGAATGAGTTAATAAGAATCCATTCCTAAATTACGGTAGTGTTCGATTTATTTTCTGATTGTACCTATGAGGTCTTGCAGGTACAAAATTGTTTTATACCATATCGAGTTTACTGATTAGTATCATGATTATTAAAAACTGTGGTTATGTATTGTAGTAATGTTTCAGAAATTTTATATCTGGACTATTGCCTAAACATGTCATGGATCCTGTAATATTTTGATACAATGTTTAAATTTTATTCCTGTCTTTCTTCGCTGAAATGTAATAAGTGGATTTAGTTGGGGAAATAATAGCGGACTTTAGACTGAAATTTGTTAAAAAAAAACAGCAAAATAACTGATAAGTTTCAGGTTATCGTTTTTTGTGATTCTGCTTTTAAAAGGGAACTGTGTTCACGCCACTAAAACACCTTCTTATACAATGATGTTCCTAACAAACTTTTAACAGGTAATATAGTAATACAAACAGATGCTGCTGAATTAGAGTGGGATTTAGAACCAGGATTAGAAGTATCTGCAGCTAATTCAACAGAAACGCAAAGAACTGGATCACAATCTGAACATGATACACAACAAGGTAATAATAATTTCATATATCAACTGACAAGTAAAACCTAGAATAATGCAATATGGCTGGGAAAATTTCACATTATTATGGTCTCTTCATTTCACGGTACTCCGGTAGTGTGTGTACCAGGTTAGGCCATAATCTTATTCCGATTTCCCTTATTTTAGTTCTATTACGAGTTCAGGGACTGTCTGTGTTAGCCAAGTGAATATACCCCCTGCCCATCCCATAGATTTCAGTCCCTTCACACAACTTGATGTAAAGTGAGCGAACGAAATTAGTTACCTCCATATTTGTACACACCCTTCTGGACCGCCCGATTTACAATGCATTATTTGAAGTGGTATGCATTGATACTACACGAAAAAAGGTAGGGAAACAACAAAATATAGTTGAGGGGATATATCTACTGTTCTATCATGTTAATGTGATGCTTAATAAGCAATATACTTAGTCAGTGTGATCAGGGAAGCATCTCTTTATTAGTCAAATCCTAGAAGTATGTTTGTGGCAAGGATAACTTATATATAGCTCTTAGCATAGTTGTGATCACTCTGGAATTCTTTTCTCATAATTCTCTTCGCATTTAGTTGAGGGCTTCCTACTTTGCTTAGAACACTTTCGAAAAGGATTCTACATATGAGTTTACAGGAAAAACATTTTTGCATTGATCCATTTTGCAGTGTTTATTTGGATTTAAATTAATGAAGCGTATATGATTTAAATTAATGAAGCGTATATTTGGTGCTCCCGAAGTATGTGTACCAGGTTAGGGTTAGGCCATAATTTTGATTTTCCTTATTTTAGTTCTATTACGAGTTCGGGGACTGTCTGTGTCAGCCAAGTGAATACCCCCCCGGCCCATAGGTTTCTGTCCCTTTACACAACTTGATGTAAAATAGGCGAACAAAATTAGTTACCTCCATATTGGTACACACACTTCTGGAGCGCCGTGAATTTGGTTAAATATGAATGTATTTATGCCTGATTAAATATTTTATTTTCAGCGATGAATGTAGCCAAATTCAATCCTCGTTTACATGTGCAACAAGCTGTCAATTGTTATTTAAATGTTCTCCCAGAAGCTGCTAAATCATCACAAACATTTGATGATGACTCAGGGTTTGTTTTTTGTTTTATAAATAAAATCTGTAAATGTATGCTTCCAGGCGTTACAGTCAGAATTTAATGTCATTATGATTAGAATACCAACAGAAAATGCTTTTCGTTTTAGTGATGCCCAAAATTTATCAAATATTAGAATTAGAATATTAGATTTAGTTGATTCTTGATTTTGGTAAAATTGAACTTTTTCATTTTGATCTTGCTATTATAAGCATTTGACATGTGAGAGATAAAAATTACACTTCATTTTGCTATAAATCAAAACAAAGTTTTCCTCAACTATTTGCATTTCTAAATTAAGTATCTACAAATTTGACTCTGTAACTTTCTCTGTGGAAAAAAAAGCAACTTGAATATATTTGAAATTTCAATGTTACCTACAATTTATACAATTGTTTTGTGAAATTTAAAATGGCCTTTCCTAATATCTCCATTTCATTTTCAAGTCTGATTTGATTAAACTGAGTAGTTAATCTGTGATTTATTTGGTCACAACAAAAGAGTGTAAAAATGTCTTGTATCTGCTGATCAGTAAACAACTCAACTTTATGTTGTATTTCAATAAACATAACCAAAATAGTAAGAAAATCAAAATCTTTGTTCCCTTAATCCCTTCCAACTGCTAACTGCATTTATTTAGCAGACATGACAGTTATCTGAGAGAAGCACACAGAATGTATAGAGATGTTCAGTATGTTTGCAGTCAATTTAACTGGCCAAAAGAATTTGATAATCCTGATCGATGTCCTGCTGTAAATAATTTTAATGAAGGTATGCTTTTCCATTACATAATTGCATTATTTCAAGTTTTCGTCTTTCAAGTAATTTTCATGGTAACTATTTTTTATGTGACCAATTTACTCATTTTACTTTTATAAGCAATTATTAAAAAGTGGTTAATAGTGATGGTGGTATTTTAGTGGTAAGTCATAAAGATAAACAGTCAATTTAATTGCTCAAAACAGGGCGCTCCAGAAGTGTGTATACCAAATCCAATATGGAGGTAACTAATTTTGTTCGCCTACTTTACATCAAGTTGTGTAAAGAAACGAAATCCTATGGGCAGGAAGTATATTCACTTGGCTAACACAAACAGTTCTCGAACTCGTAATAGAACTGAAATAAGGAAAATCTGAATAAAATTATGGCCTAACCCTAGCCTGGTACACAAACTGCGGGAGTACCCAAAACAGTAGTCGTGTCGCTTTGAGAATCATGAATGCCTATGAAAAAATATTATGGAGTTCGGGCTCTAAGTGGATTGCTCAGATCTTTATTTGATATGACCATTAGTAGACTACATAGTCAAGTAATGTCATAGGAAATTATTTATAGACTAAAAAGTGACACTTTGAATGTTTTATTAGCAAAAAGATGAGTATATGAGATGTGCATCCTTTTTTGTTTTGGGACAATGAAGGCTGCATTTTGATGAAAATTATTTTTTTTGAAATTGTTTCGAACATTGTCTTAGAACAAGGTTCTAGTCAAGTGATAAACACTTGTGAGTGAGGTGCACATATATCAAAACCATTTCATAAGTGTTTGTTACATTTTACATGGCTATTTAGTAGTCACTCGTTGATCAAAGTTGCCTTTGCTTTGAAGTCTGTATATTAATTTCAATGCTTTCATATTGCAGGACCTTTTCTTCGAATGCTTTTAAGCAAAATATCTCGCATTCTTGACCAACCTTATGAAGTTAATCTAGTTGTAACTTCAATTGCCTCAAGATTATGTTTGATGCCGCATCCTTTACTACATGAATATTTTGTTGATCCTCTCACGCCACTTCGACCGAACGTTAAGACCTTATACAATACGATACAGGTATTTTAATACTACGATTTTATAACTATAATACATAAAGAAAAGTTATTCGATTAAACATCTTCCATGGCTCTGTTATTAGTAACAGGCTGTATGACATTCTCCGAGACTGATGATCTTAGTAAACATAAATTTTCCTCTGAATGATTTGTGATATAGAATCATCCAGATTGAATGAAGAAAATTTATTTCAGTATGATTGCTGTTATTTTGAAATGATGATTGAATATGAGTGTAAGGGTTAGGTACACTATGCCAAACAGGAAAATTCTGATTTTTACAAACCCAGTATATATGTGTAAATGACTGTTTGAACCAAACTACGTTTCAAGCGAGGTTCAAATATACATACATTGGTGAATTGAATGATTTTTTTTTTATGTTTTCAGCACATCATCACAGAAATGATGGCGAGATTCGCTCGCTTTCCAAATTTTAAACATAAGTTGTTGTTAGCAAGAAAATCATTGATTGGAAATAACGAGTCTCCCATCAAAACATTATCAAGTAAGTAATCAGTGATTATAAATACACACCTGAGTATAAATAATTATCTTGCAGTAGTCTTTTAAAAAAAAATTTCAGGTTTTCAAAATTTATTTAAGGCTTAGTTAATATTGAATACCTGGTGGATTTTCATATGCTCAATATAGGGCTTGAGAAAAATTGTTGCCAGATTTATTTTATGCGACTCATGCCTTTCTCTCGATCGAGGCTCTCTGTACAAGCATCCACTGATATGTGAAGAGCTTCTATTATTGAATAGACAGGAATTTTAAACCCTTGAGGCTCTTGATTTCCAGATGGACCTGCTAGCTATTACGGTCTAACTTAGCAATTCAAAATTTCGGAACCCTTCTTTTGAAAATTCTTGGCTTACCCCCCTGAGGATATCCCTAGGATTCGATATTGCTGTTCGTATTTGTCAAAATAAGATATTTTGATTACAGTACACCTTTTAACAAATTATTTCATTCACAGGCTCTCCTCCACCACACACTGTGAAAGGAGGACACGAACATTCATTTTTACTGGAAGGTTCTATTGTTTTGGAAGAATTTTGTAAAGAATTATCTGCTATTTTGTTCGTAAAACACCATGCATCATCTGCGACTACATAGATGTTAACGATGCTTGGTTTTACAAAGATCAGGGATTTGCAATATAACTCGGTTTTGCAGATGAGTGGGAATGAAATGCTGTGATCATGTTTTGCCTTAGTTTGTCATTATTTATATTTATTGGAAATTAGAAGAATACTTGTCGAGTAGTGTTTTTTGGATTCAAATTATTACCACAATATTGTTTTCATTGTCACTATTATGTTACAAAATATTCGCAAAAGTCAAAATGTTGGCGTTGTCAAAATGTTGCAAAATTTTCACACATCAGTCAAATCATAATCACGTTTGACATCCGTCAAATGTCTGATTACATGAATTGCATCAACTTTTATCAGTTGGAATGAATGAATTATTTTTAGTTTTATATGTGACACCTCGCTTTTTGATTTGAGTATATACAAAGAAAAGCTGATGTATTTGTTTCAAGTAATTGTACATCAGCTTGATAGTTTTCTATTTCTCTGATACACTAAAGCTACTACCGGTATTTCGTTCTGTCGCGCACGCTACTTTTCAAATCGTAGCAGAAAACACTATTTTACCTTCTAAAATATAGAAGATTTTAGTCATGTTTTGTGCCAAATTTTTTTTAATAAAGCTGTTGCACCACATTAAAAATATCCAAGAGAAAAATAATTGTCGAGATCTTGATCCCCATGGGTGCTATTCAAAAGCTACTTGTGTTAATAAAATGAAAAGCTACTGGGAGAGAACACTTTTCCAATCTTTTCTGAAAAACACCCAGTCAGTTGGCTTCTAATTTGATTCATTGGGTTTTGAATTACAATTACTCAGTAATGTGTCCATTAGTTTTAGATACAATTACTTCACGCCAAGGCTACACTACCTTGCTAAAGTAATGTAGGAATGTAACTGCCTGCAACATTTTTTCTTTTTTTAAGTTATATCGTTGGTGAAGATATATTTCCATCGGCCTGACAGATTCACAAGTGCTTTTAAACTAGTGTGCAATGCATTTGCACTCTGATATGAATTGTATTTTATCGCACTATTGATATTATAATGTAAAGTTTTAGCAGAAAATAAAGATTGAAGTATAAAATTTGTGAGTAAATTTATATTAAACACACTTCAGTAAGAAAAGAGATGCATATATGTTCCCCAATCGCCTGCACCAAGATTTTGGAATGCCCATGTGAGCAGTTACTGTACTTAGTTGTCAACAAATTCTATGAGAGCTTGAAAGGTTACCGAAATGTGTTTTTCCTCGAGTGAAGAGAAAAAGAATGAGCAAAACTATTTTGTAAGATTGGGATACAGGTCCTTTCAACTGCAGTCTCAAACTAATTCTTCCTGCCGACTACAAAATTATGATAGTAGCCTGCAGTTTTTCATTGTTTGTATTCTATTACTTACTCTCTGAAAACCCTTAAATAAAACCTTCAGTGGACACCATCATAAATTTCTAATTTCATCCACTCAGATTCTTCAGAATCCAGCAGAGTATGTGAAAACAGGCAATTCCAGACATAGGAGTGTAATATATTCTTCTCAAAATTTGTGACCACCTCGACATATTTCCACACCACAAGCAAATAATGTTTGAAGTTTATTCAAGGAACTAATTGCTACTCAGGTTTAGGTAAGAATGATAGAAAAAAACAGCAAATTAAATAACAGTGGGCTCAATGAATATACACTGCAACTAACCTGAGAATTATATTTGGAAATTACAACAGGGTAGAAGGAATGAGGATGGCTATTGGCAGCATTTCAAATTCGGCAATTAAATTTCGGAGAAAAATCGTTTCAAAGAATTTTAGCTAATTAAATAAAACTTGATTGAACTTTTGGGTAATCACGCATACACAGATAGTTTTGCCAGGATAAATGTATCAAAAATAGAAAATTTAGTAAGCAGTAGCTTTACAGTGATAATTGTTTTGCTGTATCATGACTATAAAAAATATTGAAAACAAAATATTTCAGTAAATGGTTATATTTTCGGTAACTTTATTGAATATGACAACAAGGTAATACAAACGCACGACTTTGTAGGATCATATTTCACTATAAGTTGTTGGTTCTGTGATTATGAAATGGTGTTCGCCATTGCCCAAAAATTTTCATTCAAAAATAGGGTACTCCTGCAGTGTGTGTACCAGGTTAAGGTAAGGCCATAATTTCATTCCGATTTTCTATAATTTAGTTGTATAACAAGTTCAGGGACTGCCTATGTTAGCAAAGTGAATATACCTCCTGCCCCATAGGCTTCCATCCTTATACACAACTTGATGTAAAGTATGCGAACAAAATTAGTTACCTTCATATGGAGCGCCAGAAATAGAACATGGGACCCCCAAGGTAAGATTTGTTGAAATATATGAACAAGTTTAGAACAAATTAAGCTTGATGCTATTTGGAAAATCATTTTTCGATAAATCAGATATGAATTATAGAGTTTAAATTCACTCAACTGAGCTTGTCACTGATTGTAATCAGGTATAAGCACACATGAAAGTGAAAAAGATATTCAATTCAATCACAGTAGAATTTCATTTTGCAAAGCAGCTCTTAATATTCCCAAAAGCATCAATCCTCGTCTTCTGATATTTCTGGTTGAACCTCCATGCGTTTGTATACAGTGACTATATGATTATCACCTCTATGTCTTACATCACCATTTCCCTCTTCATCATCAGTTATTAAGCTCAAATCCTCCTCAGATTCCATATCTGATAATTCGGCATCATGTAATGTCATTTCTGAATCAGATACATGGTCCTCTCCATCAAGAAAACTTGCAAACCTGAATAATAACTGGCTGTTTTATGTCTTCTATTTACTAAGCATGTTGTCAGAAAACGGACTTTATCCTTGAATGCATTATTATCCTGGGACCTTAAATTAATTTTATACAATGCATTTTCAAGCCTTTCTCTCAGAACATGGCCCTGTACAAGCGGCCACTGATATTCGATATGTAACACCTAACAAACTACTTTTTATTCAGAAGAACGGTATCTTTCCAGTTGGTCATCAAGCCTACCCAACTTATGACCCCTTGGTGATGTGGGGGCATGGGTTTAGAACCGAGATGTGTAAATTAGTAAAGTCTTAATAATTTACCCCGATTGGCCATCATGCCTCTATATTTAATGCGAAAGGGGGGTATATCATCACTTTTATACTCTTTCAAATTTTCATGTCCAATCTTGATTTAGTTACCCAGATAGGAGAAAAAAATGAAAGCAAAAAATTATTACTTGGCAGGTGATTTCATTCTTGCCATAGTTTTCCAACGATGAGGAGACCATTGTGGACTGTCACAGTATTTTCTTAATTCTTCAAGAGCTTTCTTTGTTTCAAGTTCTCCTTGTACTCTGTATTCCTCCTCGGTCAATAACTTATGTTGCTCTAGTTTGTGTCTCCTGCAGAGAATATACCAGTAATTGCTGATCAAAGCTATGAATAAGCTGAAATAGATATAAGCTTGACATACACTGAAAATAACCTTGTGACACAATAAAGGAGCGTTTCTCAAACTTTTTTTCGTCGGAAGTCTACGCTTTTTATCTCACTTCGCAGAACACCGAAATCGGTAAGTGGTTTCAAAGACTGGCACGAGGCCTGTCCGCCTGTTTGGATAGCAAGGCCATTTCGTCTGTTTGTAGTCAGTTAGAAGCCAATTACGACCCAAAGTCGGCGGCCAATTAAGTCGCAATCTCTATCCCCATTTTGCGGAACACAGTTTGAGAAACGCTGCATTGAAAGTATAATTATAAGATCTACTCAGAGCTGTACTTTTAACTAGAACTAGCACATAAACATAATAGAAAAAGTAACATTGCGTTCTCACCATTTAAATCGTGTCCCAAATGACTTCAGGCTGGAAAGGATTTGAAAATTTGGTTTATTTTTCAATAAACTTCCTAAAAGTACACATGATACAATTGTCGAGGATACCTGAAATGTGAGTGTTTTGAATTAGTTTTGCTTCAATGCTCGAAAAAGGACTGGATATAATTTTAAATTTGTTTGAAAATATGAAAGACCAAGAGACAAGTTAATCATATATTAACAATTCTGTCCTCTTGTATAATAAGGAGTAAAAATTTGTGACAATCGTTTATGTAAATTGATCATGCAACAATAAACAGTCCAGCGGTCCATGCACTATGATAACACACACACAAGTTACAAAATTGCAGCTCTTGCACAGGGTAACATGTTCAATGACAACTGACAAGCAGTTTCCTATCTCTCATCTAATTAGGCAAATAGTCAAAAGTTACTGATTATTCTAATTACATATATAAAATTCCACACTTTTAATATTCTCCTTTTGGATGGAGTTCAAATTTATTACTTATCTGTGCTGTGGGAAATTATTCAATTTAATTACTTTTCAGTCAAATGAAGGTATTACCGCATGAGATTGTGTGCCACAGTATAGAAGAGTTAGTCCTATTGACTGGATTGCCCATTGTATAATACGTTGACTTCTTGGATCTTCTACCGGCCCTTTCCAATAGCATAGTGCAAAACTTAGGAAGCCTATTTGAAAATAAACGAATCCAGATTTTAAAAAGAGCAAAAATTAATATTTTTTTTTGATAAAAGATCTTAGTTGGAATCAGGAATGTTGGAGCATAGCAAGTTTTACTGGATTGTATGGAGTCATATTTTCAAATTCACCAGGGTCGAAATTTGGTGACTGTAGAACTTAAAATTTTCTACAGCAACACGAAAAGCATTAGCTTTTCTAAGCGTTATTAACACTATTATTAAAGGAGGCTTTTAAACGCCAAATTTAGCTGTGTTGGAGTCAAATTTTTTTTAAATTGAAGTCAGAATCATATTTTTTTCAACCCTGAGTTAGGAGTCTATTGTAAATTTTCGCTGAACTCTCGGCCCTCACTCGGAAATATATAAAACTGCAGAATGAATCTGATGGTTGACAACAGCACAAATTAAAAGTTCCCCAAAAAATAAATGCCGACATTGTGATTAAATACTATGAAATATCACATAAATTTGAATTATTTATCTATTATCAATTTCATTTTATATATTGCATCCTTCCATATTATCACAATTATGACTTACCAGCAATAGCGATATATGCCAAGAAATAAGTCTGATATTGTAATAGATATAATTGCCAATTTTCATAAAGTTTTCTCATAATAAAAGCTGTCAAACTCCAACCACCGAGAAGTATTGTATAAGCTGCAGGTTTCTGTAACAAATATAAATGTTGAATCAAAACAAAGAGGCTGGCAAAAGAGAGGAAACAATGAGAGACAATGTTGGCCTACTCTAAATCGGTGTTTTATGAAAGTGGTCTCTCAGGCCCACAATTGATTTACGCTTGAGATGGAATCAAGGATTGGAAGTTTATCTTCCCAGGCTGATGAATAGACACAAGAATAAGTTTGGTCATTGACACTACTGTACTGTTTATATTAATAAAAATTATTTATTGATTTCATAGTACGCTGGAAATATCATACAATCCTAAATTCACTTCCCTTCCTAAACCGATATGATTTAAATTAAAAGTATTACATTTACATTCAATTTATTCGATACATAAGAGAAATCGGTTTTCACAAATTTTACAAACGTGGATTATTTGGTCCCTATTATAAAATCAAACTTTCAATTTAGTTGGAGTTACATAGCTGATTCACTACATTTACAACATACCTTAGGTATGAATCTACTCAGAATAAATACAACAATCAACACAGAAGCCAGAACACCGATCCCAACTCCACCAGTGTAATAAAACTTCACAGAACTTGACAGGCTTGGAGCAGAGAAGAACAAGAAAACACCAGATACCAAGCAAGCCATACATGACATGTCTAAAACTGAAAAGAGAGAAGACAAAAATCCAATCAAGCTAGTGGTATAGTAGAGGTTAGGATAACTATATATTACTTGTTAAAAATATTCAAGGCAAGAACTTGACGCTATTAAAATCTTTCACTGCCATAAGTTAATTCAATTTACTCAGAAAGTCGATCAATCACCAACAAAACAGGTTAAAGTCAAACTTTGACGCTTTATCAGATTCATCTAAATTGTTCAACAAGGTCTATATTTTTAATCCATGGAATGGGATGCTTGACAAAAAACTTGACAACTTAAACATAGACTCGACACTTTTATTTATTGTGACATGCTTTTTATTTACACTGTGAAAAAGGTTCAGAAAGTTTGAATCAAAATCTGTTAGACCTGTTGCAAAAATTAAACTAAATAGTATTAGTTTTTGCAAGAACAGTCAAATTATCTGTTATATCAGCATTCTACTACAGCTGCGATGATAAAAGTATAATAAAAGTGATCCTTTCATACTTGTTTCAACTGTCATGCGTAATGTTGCATTTGTCTGTGGCTTAATAGTAATGTATTTATCAACAAATGGAGAAAATCTAAGTGTCTGAACTTCCACATTTTTGTTAGCTGACGAGGCAGTAAATGCAGATAATAAAGCCTGAAATGTAAGATTTTAAAAAATTATTTTTTGTTTAAATCTTTATATTTTGTTCCTAATTTAGCATAGCATTGTTACGAATACCGTATTTTTCAAAGTTTATTATGTACACCACATCAACGGCTAAATTTTCCCTCTAAAATACCAATCACCTATTATAAGTAGAAAATCATACCGATAAAAATTTATTCCATGTGGACTGAGAGTTTTTAACATCTTGTTCTGTGGTTCCATGTAATACTTCACATCCAGAACAATCGATTGAAATTTGTACAGAGTGTATTGCCTATGTAAAATAGATGGAGAAAAAATTTAGAATCTCGATAATGGCAATAATAAAGTGGAAAAATCTGGAAAGAGTTGATCAGTAAATATATTTCCAACATTCGCAGGATGTAAGTAAATGCCTTGTTGTTTACTATCATGCTTTCACCCAAGGTAATTGTTTGTGGGAGATTCAAAGACTCCCTCAGTAAGACACAGTTCTCCGATTTCAAGAATAGCGGCCACATTGAGAGAAATCAATTATAAGTGAGTGCAAACTCTCCTTCAAGAGACAGTCTGGGCCTCTTAACGGCAAACTGCCTCTGCGTAATAAACTAAATCAAAGCACAATCTAAAAATGTCACCATTGTATTCCCCGAAATAAATAATCTTATTCACTAGAAGAAGAAATTATTCACCGTAGCATTACTGTAGATTATCTTGTTTCAAAGACAAATAGTTTTGATTTATTGAGCCAAATTTCGGAACATCTTGGAATCGGAGAACTTTGCCATACTGTCCCTGTTAAACATCAGGTATGGATTTTTTCAACAAATTTTTCCATAATTCATCAATTTTTAAAATTTTATACTAAAATTTGATGATGAAGATGCATGAGCATTATGACAAATTTAATAGTATATTCTGCTGTTCCACAGTTAAACATACGATGCTAACAGATGCTTGGAATCCCTTTCCACGATATATTCCAAGAATATATATTTAACTAATCCCATATTGAATACAGAAACAATCACAAGCTCTTCTTTCTCCAAGAATCAAACTATAAAATCAAAAACTATCAAAAAAATCAAAATCAAAAAAATCAAAACCAAACTATAGAATCAAACTATAAAAATGTGACTTACATGTTTCAAGTTTTCTGATCTTTGTTTCCAGCATTTTTCAGGTTCTGTTATTTGCGTTCTTTTAATATTTTCACAAATCTTGAAATCTGAAAGTAAGCAGTAAGACTATTATATACGCAAAACGATAACACTGTAACATGGCATGTCTGTATGTTATTACTATATACCGTACATGTATACAGATATAACTTACTGATATAACCCACAACCAATAAATCCAGGAATCACGGCATTTCTGCATTTATTTACAGGAACACTAATATCAGAATACCGTAACAAGTTATGCATTGGCATATTAGGAAAAGAATTGATTTATATCATTTATTAGTATACCCTGTCCTGTTTTCAGGGTTTAATCCAACCTGGGAAACACGAACTGAACCTGTGAACAAAAAAACTTAAGCCGTCAGCAGTCTGGCAGTTGAGCTGCCTGACTAAATCTTTTATCTCTGCGGTGTGGCACTATATACAGATATATTAGTAAAAAAGTATCGATAGTACAGACAGAAGCTAAATACCGTATTGAAATAATCTCATGAAATTGGTGCCTAAAAATTTTACCTTGCGCTCCACAAGCTTCTGAGATCAACAATAAACAAATAACAACCAAAATAGAGAATCCTTTCATTTCCAAACCAGAACACTTGTGGTACTAAACTATGCTAGACCCAACACTTGTATAGGTGTAATCCAACACATATAGGCTATAGGTAATATTCAAATTTTACGCATGCGAAGCTTTGAAGCTAGCAGCAAATTTCTGAATTTACAACTCTTGCGCTCTGAAGGTTCGCATTGCCGACAGAGAGATTTGATTTCCCCGACCCTTGACCTCGTATGAGAGAGAGATTCATTGCCACAACACAAAGTCAACACTACTGTATTATAAACATTATACAGTAACGAAAATATTTCAGCAGTAATGACAGTGATTGCTTATTGCTTTGTGCGGGTCGGTGTGCTAGGCTCCCGACCCTTGTGTATATGCTGTATATAAGACTATCATGACATAAAATAGTACCATAAGTGAATGCAAACGAGTATAAATAAATATAAAAAATATAAATAAGATAAAGAAATGAGTAGATGAGTCGACAATTTAATGGTATTATAAAAAGTCTTCTGATCTTTCACCGAGCATCAATTTCCTTGTTTATTTCTGCAACAATGACTAATCAGCAAGAAGTTTACAATGAAGGCAGGATCCCAATTTCAGCAGCTCAGACACCTTCTTTCGCTTAGTCAGATATTTAGGCACGGTTGTAAACATTGTCCCTTATCGTGGTTTTGTGTGTTATTTATCAGTTTTCATTTGTGTTGCCAAAAATTAGTTGTGAAACAGTTAACTTATTGTCCTTTTGTCCGAGGAGCTATAGTTTAGTTGCAATATTCAAAAATTAGTCCCGCAAAGCCGCGATAGACTAGGCTAAAATTAGCTATCAGCATCTTTGAGCGACACGTGGTTGAATATTTCTATATAAAATAATGGCTTTCAACATACTCTTAAAAGTGATCTAAGAATGAGCGTCGAACACTTTGGATGCAGCCGGAAGAAGTTGGTACAATTTTGGACAAAAATATGAATATTGAACTATTATTTAAACCATTGGATCTATCTAAATGGACAACAGCAGTTTGGGCAAGTGGTCAAAACATTGAAGACACCTGTGATATTAGTAAACTAATACTTTATTATTTAATGCAAATAATTATCTAAAAATCGGACGCCTCCAAACTTTGGTATCTGCATGTAGAAAGCATGGGTGTTCTACACTTTGTTTTGCATTGTCTATAATCAAATGTAATTATTGTCCAAATGCATTGACCTGGCAGAAACGCGCTCTAGTCCGATACACTATCAATTTTATTGTCGTTTTGCTTCAATTTGTATGTTTGCCTCACTTCTCTATTGAATGAAAGGCCCGACGATCCTCTCACTGTAATGATGTTCATCGAGTTTATATATATATATATATTACTGTGTGTGTTACTTTCGAAAAAACAGGCACATTTGATTCTTATGTTTGTCTATTTCTTCCTAGCATTTATGTTATAAGTGATTCAAGAGTCTTGCTGCACACTAACACAAATATATTTCTGTAACGTTTCGTCTGACCAAGGTCAGACTTCTTCAGACATACATAATTCATGTTAATTTATGTTATAGTTGTTGATTAGTGTTGTGGTTTCATAATGCCGGACTAAATTTTATTGTATTGCAATAGTGAAGTATGTAAAGAAAAAGTTTTTCTGAGATCGGGGGTGGAGGAAACATTGAATATTCATCATGACTTTTTATCGAGCATTAACTTCCTTTAGTCGCTAAGAAACTATTTTCATCCTGATATACTTTTATTTATCAATATATGTATCGAATAAATTTGTGATTAATAACCAAATATTACAAATTTTCTTCATGTTTGCATCATGAGATAATTTTAAGAAGGTTGAGGCGGGACCAACGGTAAATAAATTATCATTAAGCTATTACAAAATAAAATTTATGCTGTTATGTAATTACAAAAAATATATTTCCAGAGAAAGGAAGAGAGTTATATTCTTTTTATTATACATCAATGTATGTATGTATGTATGTTTATTCGTCTCGTTAAAGCAATATAAAAGAGTAAGTAATTATAAATACTGAAGACGGGATGTATGCACAAGACCATATTGGCCTAAAACACAGATGTGCGGCCCTTACACCCCTTTTGATATATATAAATTATAATAGGGTAAATCAAATATGTACAATATGGTCCTTTATACAGGCAGTTGTGCAAGGAGGGTGGGTGTATGCGGTAACAGGGATATGGGTGGAGTGTACAAAACTGTTTGTACAAAGGAGTTTGTTAGACAAAACAATATCTATAAATAGAGACACAACACAACATGAAACACACTGCATATGAATATAATAATAAAAAAATTAAAAAAAAAAAAAATTAAGAATTTGGATGAATGTACAATACCATTGAGTGATGATACCACATACTATAAAACGCGGGAATGGTCAAGTTCAAAGGGTGTGTACATATATGGTATGCACCACTCAAGGGCGACAGTGTTATAGTGGTCTATGGCTGTTCTGGCCAAAATGTGACCCTACAGGTTTTGGTGAAATATGATAAAGGTATGTATCAAGTGACTCACTATTGTAAGGTTTTTTTTGGAATTCTGGATTCAGCCAAAAACAATGAAGTTTCGAAAAAAAAAAAAATAATAATAAAAAGCATTTCCACAAAACCTATTATGGTTGCATTTCAGCCAGAAGATTAGAATGGTATAAAGGTACAGTGGGATAGGGAATGATAAGTTAAAAGGAGAAGCCATTTTACCATGTCATGGATTTTCCAATGTAAATTAAAACAATAAAATTATATGGTATCCTGGGATGAGCAGAAGAAAAAGTGTATATTTAACACTTAGTTGCTAATCAACCCAGTATTTAGCTATTTTTGGACACGAAATGGACATAACGATCGTTTCAATATTATGTTGTTGGACACGTAGTGGACATAACGATCGTTTCAATATTATGTTGTTGTTGTTCTTGTTCTTGTTCTTGTTCTTGTTGTTCTTTGACACGTTTTTAAAAAGTCGCTTTTCTCTTCGAATACTGGACCAATTGCTTTGAAATTTTCAGTGGTTGAAGATTAATTTTTTCGCTAGAAGGCTATTACTTTTGTTTATTCTTAAATTTTATATGAATCCTATGAGATATGATATTTCATACAAAATTTCGCGGTATTTATTTTTACTCATGGGAACACTGTTTTACACTTATTTCAAGCGGTTTTGCGATCGATTGTCTTGCTCAGTACTACAGCTACTGTAGGTCGGTACTGGTAAGTTGCCATACCGGTGCCGTAACGCAGTGAAATTGACTTATTCCTTCCGCGGTATTACTAATGCTGCAATGCAAGTTTTATAGCCTATCGTATGCGGAACGGAATATCAGACCTACAGGTTCGGTACCGGTACTGGTAGCTCAGTACGTAAGTACGATACTGGTACTGGTGCCGGTACCGGTGTCTTACCACAATGAAATTACCGTAACTTATTCTTTCACGGTCCTACCAGTGCAGTAATGCAAGCGTTGTAGCACTTGTAGCCTACTATATTTGTTTATTTTGATGAGAGTCTACTGGAAACAACATAAAATTTGAAAGGGAAGAATTGTTCTGTGATCAATTATCTGTCCTAAAGTGTAAATAACATAAAATTTGCAAGGGAACAACTGTTCTGTGATCAATTACCGTATATGGCCTACAGTGTACAGGTAAGATGCTGGCTGACTGCTAACCGGTACTGGTAGCTCAGTACGTAAGTACGATACTGGTACTGATGCCGGTACCGATGTCTTACCACAATGAAATTACCGTAACTTATTCTTTCACGGTCCTACCAGTGCAGTAATGCAAGCGTTGTAGCACTTGTAGCCTACTATATTTGTTTATTTTGATGAGAGTCTACTGGAAACAACATAAAATTTGAGAGGGAAGAATTGTTCTGTGATCAATTATCTGTCCTTAAGTGTAAACAACATAAAATTTGCAAGGGAACAACTGTTCTGTGATCAATTACCGTATATGGCCTACAGTGTACAGGTAAGATACTGCCTGACTGCTAACTCAGTACCGCTTGACACGTTTTTAAAAAGTCGCTTTTCTCTTCGAATACTGGACCAATTGCTTTGAAATTTTTAGTGGTTAAAGATAAAAATTTTCTCCAGAAGGCTATTACTTCTTTTTTCGCTATGACGTCATCAAAATTATGTGACTCTACGTGTCCATATATTTGAGCATAGCTCTCTTGTTGTTGTTGTTCTTTGACACGTTTTTAAAAAGTCGCTTTTCTCTTCGAATACTGGACCAATTGCTTTGAAATTTTCAGTGGTTGAAGATAAAATTTTTCTCCAGAAGGCTATTACTTTTATTTATCTTAAAATTTCCTGTGGACTTCGAGAGATTCGTTTTTTGTGTTCAAAGAAGTGATCAGAATAAAAAATAGTGACACCTTGTGGCGATTGCGCGAAGGCTTATCAACTGAGAAGCGATCGTAATTCTTGCTCCGCTAAGAGTTGTTTATGGGGAATCGAGATGTTTGGGGTTACCGGTACCCGCAATGAAAGGTTTTTGAGGTTAAGTTAAACTACCGGTACTGTTTCGCTCGGTGTTCAATCAATCAATGTTCACATTCCGTATATTTCAGTATTTGTAGACTGTGGTTCCCGTGTTAAGCGAAAGTGATACCGGTACCGGTACGATAGCTGGGAAAGCTATGACAGTCCCTGTGGCCTGTACGGCACGTACAGGTACCGTTTACGGGTTTACGTACCGTCTTACCGGTACCGTAGTACGTTACGGTACAGCTGTACAGGTGCGATATCGGTAGACTAGTACAGTATTACTGTACTAGTTGCATTAATTATATTTGTTTAGAGTGTGTAACTGCATTGAAATTAAGTTTTTGTAATGAGCCAGCATGTCTGCACAGCTGCTATGCCTTTCTAATTTTTCGCTGTTTCGTTACATTTTTTTGGAAACAACATTTGCATAAATACGTATGGTACCGTATGCAGAGGAAGAAACTTCACAAAAATTTCAACATGTGCAGCAGGTTAGTGTACATAAATCAGTAAATACAGAAATATGCAGAGGAAGAGACTTTACAAAAAGGATAAGATTTACATAATTATCCCGATGGAGAGGAAAGCCTATAGAACGGCTTAACCATATTGCGAACCACAGCCTCTTGTCTGGTTACCGGTACCGGTAAGGTACCATTCCAAGTCTGGTATGGCTGTATGGGATTAATTAGTTATATTGTTCAGTTTTATCAAATATAAATTGATCGATAGCCTACTCACCTATTTTAAAAATAAAATTGTTGCAATTTGCAGATGTGAGAATGAAATATATGACCACTGTACAGTCAATGACGTAGGTATGTGCCAAATCATATCAAGTTTATTTACATGTTTACTCTTACTGTATTTGCAGTCAAATTAACTTATTCCATTTTTTTGTACGCTTGCACAGCTGCAATGTTTATGCTCATCTTTTAGCCTTTTTCATTACAATTCTGCGGTAAACAACATCAATATGCTAATAAAGAAGCATTACAATCTTTCCAATAGTGTTCAACATGTTATGAAATAGGGTGGTCGCGGTTTCATCAATGCAAAAAATATTTGCCGGTTTAACAGCGTGATGCAATTATTGCAAATAGTTTTCGTGTCCATATATTTGAGCATTGCTCTCTTGTTAATAATATATTGTCAATTGTTGTTTGATATATTCATTGTTTGGAATCAGCCAGCTACATTGTACAAGCAAAAGACAAAATTGTTTTTTTGGTGCATCACGAGATAACATTAACGACATTGTTAATATTTGTGTCGTTGATTGATTGACAATAGACAATACATTTATTTCGTCGTGCAAGAAATCAATACAGAAGTTTAAAACAAGAAAAAAAAATTATGCATCACAGTAACGGATTTCATTCTGCCTGGAAGTTGCGAAGGACCAGAAATGGTCATCATAAGTCTGCGACACCAAGATTTAAAAAGAGTCAATAATAAAAATTGTATTGAAAGATAGCAATGAACACAAAGAGAAACTTAGTCATGTCGGGAGAGAGTAAATATAAATTTTAATATATATTATAATCAATATATATTGATTGAATTTTTGTGGGGAGAATGAAAACTTTTATTTAGTTATCGCGGCATTTATTCGTGTTTTATGTCTAAGAAACAAGATCATTCCGCCTAGGAAACTATGTAGCATAACATAAGCAAACAATTCAGCGGTTCATTTATTTAAAAAAAAAGAATAACAAAAATACAAATGACTAATGTGACGTCATCTGCAAATATCCACGAGAGGCGTTTTAATGAAATCTTTGTGATTAAGTAACACCGACAGTGAAAAGGAGAGTGTTTGTTTTCATCAGATAACTGCATAAACACATTGTGGAAAAAAAAAGATAACTGCATAAACACAAACCAACGATAGTATTTGAGCGTTTTTTCCTAATATTTATTTCTATGAATATTACTGTGTCACGCTTAACAAATTTGTGAGCGTTTTGTGGAAGACCATTGATACATTGTGGCTGATCAGTTTGTTTTCTAGTTTCCGCATTTCTGCTTTTTTCAAGACTCAAACAGACCGGTCACTGCCGTCAGCCGGTGTACCGCAGTATGGTACCTGTACCGGTAGAATGTGATACCGGTACAGTGTGAATAAAAAAGAAATAAATAGCAACGTCATTTTTCATAATACCGTACTTACTGACTTTGGGCAGAGAAAATTAAAATTTTTTGAGGTTATGTGATTCAGTGATTGTGAACCCAGATAGAAAGTAAAGCGAATGTACCGGTACCCCGGTACCAAGGTACGGTCTGGCAGTAGGCCTATATTTACAAATTTAATTAAAAAATAGACCAGAACCAAGATCAGATAGAAAAAAAACTAGCAATCTGAATATTACACATGCAGACATGGTATTCTGGTACGGTAATGAAAAAGCAAGATTGACCTGTTGGAAGCAAAAATAAACATACATTCTTCACAATAAATCAAATACAGAAATAGGCGTAGCGTCGTCATCCTCTGAAATATCCTGGATTACTGTTCAGTTTTGAATAATTTGTTAATCGATAGCTACCGTATCGTACTGCTGATATAATCAATTTGTATTACCAATTCAGGTATCTCGCTATATTTATTCATCACATCTTTTCTAACATACTGACATCTGGACATATACGGTACCTGAATACTAGTTATTGTATATACAAAAATATAATTTCAAACATTTGAACGAGCTTGTTTTGGTAAAGCTATTCAGTGACTGTCTTTGAGTTATTGTTCTTTCGATATCTTTTGATGAAAGATTGCTTTAATATAGATGTCGGCGCTTCAACAAATACAACATAAATTAATCATCTAGGTACTTTAGTAATAATAATCAGTTTTTATTTTGTTAGATATTTATTATAGCATGGCTGATAGAAGTACTTCACGAAAATGTCTGTTGTGTAGAATAGGATATTCTTTAGTTGGTATAGCAATTGGCGTCTCCGCATTTATTGTATGGCTGGTTGTGTTTGAACATACCAAAGCAACTATACACATAGTCACGTTCAGTGGATTATCAGGTACCGTATAATTAAAATTATTTGATTTGTATTCTGCACTTTGCTGATAGGGCACTCATGAATATATTCGGATCATGGAGTTAGCACATCAGCAAAATGCCCTCAATAACAGACTTTTGATATTAAAGGTTTGAGAATTTATTTTATCTTTCCAATATCTGATTCATATTATCTATACAAAACCTGGTATGTGGAAGCATTCTCTTCATATTAGATGTTGTATAACATCTAAGTACTATTATCAAGGACACCTCAACAGTTTGAATATATAAATCCTAATCTATTACATTATGTAGCAAAGTTATTGGTAACTCAATTGAAGTTGGACAAATAATATTTTGTTAGATCTTCTATTTTTCAGGTAACAAAGTGGATTTATGCTATAAAAAAACTCTTATCTGTCTCTATCATCACTTTGTTATAGATTTCACTTTTGATGATAATGCAAAAAATTAAGAGAAAATAATGTTGTATGTGGAAAATTTGTATTCCCTACCAAAATGAGAACTATTTTTCAATATTATTTTACTGCCACGATTTATTATAATATGGCAACATATTCCACCTAGTCATTGCTAACACTGCTATTTTAAAAAAGCTGTTTTAGCTGCGTGGAACTTGGTTACACACATAATGCATCTTCAAGATTATTGGAGAACATGGCTTAGAGGTCTACGTTATTTCATGGCTTGTGGTGCTTTATTCTCTATCATTGCTATTGCTGGATTCATAACTTATCTGGTACTGGGAATAAAAGCTGGAATAGGTAAGCGAAGCGATAAGTCTGCAATAGAATAAGAAATATATGGGAGCCGCGTAATTTTTAAAATTAATAATATTGGAATACCGTGAACTGAAAAGAACTTTACCCCAACTTATATTAATATTGCAAATTATATATTGCAAGGCGATATCAGAAGTAGTTAAAATCGCCAACGCAGCAACAAACATTTGATCATTGGGATGTGAGATTTGTTGTTTGACGGATTTAAATTAAATTCCACGCTACAATTTTCATACTAAAACATTATTTGTCGTGATCATTGATGAAAACTTTTTCAACTGCTTAATGAATTAAAAAAAAAAACTGTTACGCTACAGTTTCCCTTGGTTAAATTTGGACAATATATAATTATTGCTGGCGAAAAGAGCTGCATAAAAACTCAGTGCGAGCGAGCAGCATGCAACATTTATTTTTTAGTAATGAATTGAACATCTAATACTTTTATTTCACAGGAGTTACTGTTGGGAGTTTCTATATATCATGTGTGTGGTGTTTCATAACATTCAAGTGGGCATTTCTTCTTCTACTTTATTCACGATCATACAGAAATGAATTCTCAGACCTTACAGCTTTATTGGAATTTTAAATTGGGATTAGACCATTCGTTTTGATCGTCTTATTGTAAATTGTGTTTATTGGTATATCAAGTACTATTATATAATACATTGCCATTTTGTAACATGACATAATGAGAATTGCAAATCATTCACTTACAATTTCGATATAATATTTACTTCATTTACTTTTTGTTAATTGTGTTTATTGATTTATCAAGTATTAATATTATGATGCATCGCCACAGGACTAAGTGAGTTGCAAATCACTCACGATTTCTATATAATATTTTTTCCTCTGGTGGCTTTACTTATAAACAAAACCTTCAAGAATAATTGCTATTACTTTCGCTATCCAATATTATTGTATACCTCTCGTTAAGTACTTCTGAATCTCAACTAACTGTCAATCCATTGATTGCCAATAAGCTGATTTGCGCATGATTATTATCAGGTTGTTGCCACTGTGAAATTCTTAGTTGCTTCTAACTGACTGGTGTCAAGTGTTAATCAATCTGAAGCTGTATTGAGCCAGTTTAGATTTGCAGTATGCTTTTTACCAGTCAATCATTTTTTATTGTTTGCATCCTATGTAAATAGTTGTAGCCAATGGAGCTGACGTACTCGTTGTGAAAATTTATAATAAATGTGCAATGCAGGTATCTGCATATCATAGGATTAATGTGTGTGATCTATAACTTGGGTTACAAAATACATCCAGTTTATGGCTGGTTCCTGCAGCAATCAATGGTGCACTGTCTGTGTTTTTCTTTTTATTGAACGTTAGAGAGAATACTGTTCCAATGCCACAAGGAATTGAAGCCTTTTCATCACCATTGGTATACCAGTGGTGTATAGAGTTTGTATTTCCACCAGAAACTATGAAGTTTTCATGGAACACTGTTGTATATGGTGTGAACTCAGGGCAATCCAATACAGCAGTTTGACTTTGAGATCGCAAATGCCAGAGTGATAGTTTCGGTCCTCCTCCACAAACCATCCACTGCCCATTATCATCTGTAGCAACGGAGCTTATCCATTTTCCGTATTGTGGTCGACTTAGCTCTTTGTTTTGATGCGGCTCAATTGTAGTTGTCGCCTGTGCCATACGAAGGTCCCAAACCTGAAACAATCATTGTTTAAGTTTAAAAGGAATAGTGCTGTAGTAAGGGTGAGGCTGATTTAATGGCTTACTATCGCTTTTGTTTAAGATACTTATCTACTCAAAATTATAAATTGGTAAAAATAGATTACCTGAAAAATCATGATATGCATGCTATGATATTCAGACATTACTATTAAGTGCATACCTTAACACTACCATCTTCTGATGCAGAAACAAGGCCATTAGGAGAAATCATTGCAATATCATGAATATATTCTGTATGTCCAATAAGCTTCCGTTCACATTTTCCAGAATTAAAGTCCCATATACACACTACATTGTCATCTCTTCCAGCATATAGTTTTGTCTCGTCGCAAGCAAGAACATTTACGTCATTTGAAGAAAATGATCCTTCATCTCCTTGTGACGGTTCATACAGAGTATAAACTTTTGCCGGTTTTCTTTCTAATATATCATTCCATTTCCAAGCTGCCACTGGCCCAACTCCTCCACTTAAGAGGCAATCTTTTGTGGACACCAGTGAATGTATTGGGCCATCATGGGCTTTGAATGTAAAAATTGATTTTTGCCACTTAAGAGAATTGAGCGTGACTGCTTTCTCAAAATTGAACAGAGATATATGTCCAAAATTATTTGCTGCAGCAACAAACTTCCCACAAGGAGAAAATACAGTGGAATACACAGTTGTGCACAGCAAGTGTCTTGAATCCATAGTCTGTGGAAACGAATATGAATAAGTAGGTAAATTAAGTTTATTGTCACATTAGAAGAAGAGTCAGTAGGTGGGCTACAGCAGTAAGGCACATGCGGCGGCAATTTGTGAATATTATCACTATTACTGGTATAGGCCTAGACTACTGCCTAATGTAAAGACCTTTGTTCCTCATAACTTAGATACATATATATATCGCATGTTCGTATAGACTTCTTTCCGAGTGAAAACTACCTAAATTTGGGTCTCATGTAGTTTCGTACCTAACGTACTTCTATTAGACTACTTTTTTTTTATTTATTTTATTTTCCATTAAAAAAACAATTAGATTAATTTCAATATCAAGTTCATTTGAATTCAATGGTAGTCCATTCATGATTCCAAATAGGCATCATGAATGATGTCGTTGCATCATTTAGTTCATGTTCCATATTCCATTGTATTACGGTAATCATGAATAAGTCCAGCAATTATATGTCCCATATTGTAGTTCATCCAATGCGACATCCATTTGTTTGATCATTCATTTATGTGAAATTCTAGTAGACTACGCGTAGCATAACATTTTTTTCACGTGTTAATCCTAACCCCCACCTGACAACACCATCTAAAAACCTTCAAATTATGCGAACTGTCATCCAGAGGCGCAGTTCTTACCACTTCATGGCAGCTCCTGCCACGAACGAACCGCGGCAGCTCTTGCCATGGTTTTATAGCGCTATTCTGTAATCAGTATCAACGGTATATTCACAAACTAATGTACCAAATTCTAATTGATCATGCGGAATTATATCTACTTAAACCCTAACCCTAACCCCAAATCCATCAAGACTGTATCCATAAGAAAAACGTTCCAACTTACCCAATATTTGTCACCATAAGGGACAGCCCTGTCCTTACGGCCCACCTGCCGCGGTTACGGCAGCAAAATTTTACCTGCCATTGGTTTTCAATTTGCTGCCGCGGTAACGGCAGCTCGACATTGGTTTGTGGCAGCTAAAAAGTCAGTCGCCATAGGTTTGGCCGTAGCGGCCATGGTATGAAAATATCGCCATGGTTTTGCGGCAGCTGCAGACGCCATAGAATACTTAAAACTGCACTTGGTCATCCAAGACGCGCAGACGAGAACCCGAAATCGAACAGCCATTTCTCTCGTTTTCTCGTCGCAACGATCCCGATAGGCGAGAGATCGCTGACGTTAGTCAGTTCTTTATTGTCGGCGCCGATGCCATTCCGGGCGATCGTACGAGTATTTGACAAGCTCTATGACGTGATTGTGATGGCGTAGTCAGGTGAGGGTTAGGATTGGCATGTCAAAAAATTGTTATTCTACGCCTACTAGAAGTACGTTAGGTACGAAACTGCACGAGAGCAACAGACTCTGATGACCCCAAAAGGTCGTATCGTTGTCTCCCAGCCTTATACCAAAGCATCTTTTTTTTTTATATGTTCATGCATGTATTGTGTGTTTCATGGTTTGACAAATAAAAATAAACTCTCTCCCTCTCCCCTAAATGTTATCCACATGCCCGGCTTGTTCATATCCTGAAATTATTAATTTTCCCCGCGAATATTGCGCACCATCTTGCGGGATTTGCCAAGACACGAAATTTTTCCTTGTGCCTCATTCCATAACTGTCACCCTCGACTCCAGAAAAAATCTTCCTATACCTGCCACTGCCAAATTAGTTTTGTTATTGGACACGTAAGTGGACAGACTCTGATGACCTTATCGGTCGTATCGTTACCTCCCAGTCATAAACCGAAAACTCTGAAATCTTATATTTTGTGTAAATATGTATATGATCGTTTTGTTTTTCTGGTTTGACGAAAGCAATAAATTCTCTTTCTCTCAAAATTGAAGAGCGTGAAATTTTTTTGAAAAGCTTTCCAATTGAATAACAAAAACTTCGATTTGTTCTTGTTTTAACCTAATATGATATCGACAGATTTGTAGAGGTTAAAGATAGCTTTCGAGTGGTATCATTATATTGAATTTATCGTGCACCAGTAAAATTGTATAAGCTATTTTATTTAATGTTCTCCAATTCTTCATATGTCCGCTGCGCCAACTTGAGTTAAACAGCGACGTTCCTTAATTTCTTCGTTACGCAGCGACGGCAACGTAGTAGCTATGCGTTCGTTATGAAAAACACTTATCGCTTTTCCTAGCAAGTGCGAAACGTCATTAACCTAAAGCATACGTTTAAAGCAGGTATTATTGGAACCGCGACCGGTGTTATGATACTGATACAATTGGAACTCCAGTTGTAAACTACAAAATGCGCGATTGCGTAATTTAAAACGTGCCTGAACGTCAATGCCTAATTATACTTTGTGTCGTTACGAAAGCTTGGCTTTAATCGTTCACCGATTTTGTTTATTTACCAACGATAGTGATTCGCACTCTAGTGATATATGAATATGTATCGCGGGTACTCCAGAGCGATGCCACGCAATGACATTGTGATCGTCGCGCGAAAGATAGAAATAGGTAATAAAATATGACAAAATACATGTAATTGGAGAGGTAATTGTAATACTATTTTCTTGTTATACTGTGTAATCAATCTTTCAATTCACGGTGATAAAGGAATTTCCATCTTTGTACTTGTTGTGAGCACACATGCTGTAACTTTATGATTCATTCATATATATTTTTAATTCACTGTGATATTTGAATTGCCAACTACGTACTTGTTCTGAACACACATGCCGGAACTCCATAATTTATTCACATACATATATATATATATATTTTCATGTGGTACTGTAAAATGTGGGATAAATATAACTTTTACTGTGCAATTATAAAATAGATAAACTAATTTGCAAACCTTACGCGTCACACATTGAACGAAGAGATAAATTTGTTTTATAATTGTAGTTTATTAATAGAATCCTGTTAAAATTTATTAAATAGTTCTTCTGTAATATTGATTCATATATAATTAGTACTGCTGTAAGATCAATTTTATATTGTTGTGCTTGACGTGCTGCTAAATTCTCATTTCAATGCTTGTTCTGTGCACTTACTATCAAATTAATGTTTTTTAATACTGTTATGTGTATAATGTTTATACACTTGCAAAATGTATCAACCTAAAATCCTCTTTTTTGTTTTTTATTATTTGATGTAATTCATCCTATAAACCTTTCCACACACAAAAATAAATTCAATGAATTTGAAAATTGATTTGGTTAGTTCAATCAATCAATCGTTTATTTTGTCATCACAAAAAACACGTTCAAACATAAAGTGACACAATGAATAAATTACAGTACTAATCATGTTTTTGCGTGACCGGAGTCTTTTTTTTTATTTTTTTTTATTGCATTCCATAAAATAAAACAATATTGCAATATAATTGCAATAAACAGTATCAATCAATAAATAATACATCACAGTAATACATAACAATATCATGGCAAAATCATTTAGATTTTGATAAATTATTGGCAGTAACAATATTAATAATAATTTTCATCTTATCTATAATTAAACAGGAAGGGCTATGCTCAATATATGGACACGTAGGGCCAGTAATTTTGATGACGTCATAGCGAAAAAAAAGTAATAGCCTTCTGGAGAGAAGTTTTATCTTTTCAAAACGAAGAACAAAAAGAAGAGGATTGCCTGCATAAAATGCAAAACGATCGATATGTCCACTACGTGTCCAATAACAATGTCATCCCAGATGACCCTATACATATATCATAAATTATAACTTAATACAATAGTTAGAATAATATAATAACAATTATCTGTTTACAATAATAAAATTACTGCAATCTTTAAATAAATTCCATTTTTTTCTATGTATATGAAGTTGCCACTTTTAAAATGCTGAATATTTTCACTATCACGGATATCACATAGAAATTGAAAAACACCATCAAAAATCGGTTTGTGCTGTCTGAATTCCGGCATCTATATATATATAGAAACGGGCAGCCAAATAATACACAGTTAACAAATTGCAAATTAGGAATATCATCAACCCTATGAAACAATTCTTTTATACTAAAGACTAAATTCAAATTCTCAGTTTTGAAAACTATCCATTGGTCTACCTCAGACAAATTGCTTGTTATGGACAAAATAAAACAAAATGCAATAAGTTTCAATATGTTGTTTAGCAGAATTACACATATTGTATCCACCAGTCCAAAGCCGTGTAATGTAGTTGAGAATATAGATTTATAAAAAAATTTAAATTTGGAAAGATCTAATTTGGTTTCAATGGTTGATGAAAACGAATTTTTGAAGTAGCTATCCCACTTCACATTAGGAATATTAAAGGACTCTTGCCAAAATGATTTGTACATACTAGGGGGAACAAACTTTTTCATTATTGGACACGTTTAGTGGCCATAACGATCGTTTCAATATTATGTTGTTGTTCTTGTTCTTTGACACGTTTTTAAAAAGTCGCTTTTCTCTTCGAATACTGGACCAATTGCTTTGAAATTTTCAGTGGTTGAAGATAAAATTTTTCTCCAGAAGGCTATTACTTTTATTTATTTCAAAATTTTGCGTGAATTCTATGAAATTTGATATTTCGTCTAAAATTTTGCTGTATTATTTTTTATCCATGGGAACACGGATTTTAGTCAGTGTCATGACTGGCTGTACGTTTTGATTCTGCAAAATTCTTGCTACTGGAAATTCAGAACTTTTTTGAGGGTACCGGTAGCGTCAAAGGTACCGGTAAGGACTGATTCGCTCTGGTCTAACGTGTCCATATATTTGTGCGTAGCTCTCTTGTTATGCTGTTATAAGCATTTTTACACAAAAAGTTTTCAGTTGTTGTTGTGAGAAATGCCATAAAATCAAAATCATGATCAGTCAAAGTTACATGTGTTTCCAGTATCATTCCATTCTTCAGGAATGCTACCTATAATTTTATAATACCATTTATATTCTTCAACATTATACTGCATGTCATATTTAACAAGAAGTTCAAAATAAGTATAATATGTAGCACTTGAAACTGAATCTTTCAGTTCAGAGATACCATGTTCTTTCCAATTGGAAACATACAAAGGCTTTCTACAATATTGCAGTTTTCTATTGTACCATAGTGGCTGATTGAGTGTATGGACATTCGTAACAATATTTTTATAGCTATACCAGTATATAAGCATGTATTTTATGGTGAGAAAGGGAATGTTTTTTATAAAATAGGAATTCCAGAATAGATTACCTTTTAACAAAGATACAAAATCAAAATCCTTTAAATAATCAAGTTCGATAATCTTCCATTTCATTTAGATTCATCCAATAAAAAAGCAACCCACTTGATTTTCTGTGCTATAATAAAACTTTGAATATCAATCATATCTACCCCCCCTAATAATTTAGGCCCAATTAATGTTTTTCTTTTCACCCTTTCCCATTTCGAATTCCATAAGAATTGATATAAGATAGAATCGAGTGATTTAATATACCTATCTGGTATGAAAACAGGTAAATATGTATAATTGTACGTAAAAAGTGAAACAAAGTGAGCAAAGTAAGATTTCTCATTTTCCATATTTGGATCACATTTTTTGCCCTTTGTATGATCTGAGGGAAGTTTAAATCAAATAATTTGGATAAATCTACTGGAATGTTAACTCCAAGCAACTTTAATGAAGTAGTCAATTTTAGTTGAAAATTTAAAATATAATCAATGTTCAAAGGTGTTCCAATTTGCATGATTTGCGATTTTTCCAGGTTAGTTTTGCACCCAGATATGCAACCAAAATTATTTAAATCAGTAAACAGATTCACTGCACTTTCACAGGAACCATCTGTAAAAACGTTTGTGTCATCCGCTGCCATGGCAAGTTTCACAGTTACGTCACTCACTTGTATTCCTTTTATGCCTTCATTTGATCTT